AGCTTCGGCTCGCTCTGAATAGCAAGAATTGCGGCAAATTCCCTTCAGTTCTTGATCGGGCGAGAGTGACAACTGGATCCTTGGCTCCGCGTGATCTCCCGCCCTATTGTTCATAATGGCGTGATAATCGAGAGAGAAAATGGACTGCGTCGCAGTGGAGTTTGTTTTGCTGAGTCGGAGTCGACTACTGATGGATTCTCTGGGTGGTCGGAGTCTGATTCCGGGGAGGAGGCTTTGGACTTACGGAGAAAGAAGTGGTTTGGAGGTACTTACTGCACTTCTTAAAATTTCCTTATGATTTTTCTTGGTGGTCTGTTTGATTGCTGAGCATAAAGGGAAACGAGAATCTAAATATCCGGTGGAGCTGTTATTTTCTATTTTCTTGAGCTTTATAATAACAACAATCCCAATCCCACCGCTTCTAGATATGATCCGTTTTCGCCCTCTTACGTATAGCCATCAGCCTCACGGTTTTAGAACTTGTGGAGAGTTTTCTATTCCTTACATTTGTTTCCCTCTCCAACCAATATGAGATCTCACAATTCACCTGGGTCCAATATCCTCGCTGCCACTAGTGTCAGGCTCCAATACTATTTATAACCGCACGAGCCCATCGCTGACAGATATTGTCCACTTTGGCCTGTTACATATTGTCGTCAACCTCACGATTTTAAAACGCGCCTTTAGGAAGAGGTTTCTACACTCCTATAAAAAAAATGTTTCGTTCTTCCCTCCAACTGATATTCATGGGTTTGAATTATCGGAGAAATTCTTCTCGCCCCATGTTGAATTGCATTGCCATTGCCGTTATTTAGTTCTATATGATAAAACACTAATGCTGTAATGACCATGACATGGTAGATTTCAATTCCATGTGGAAGGTCCATTTGTAGTTGAAACGTTGATTGTTTATGCGTATAATGGTGTTTAGTGGCATCATTTAGTTCCTGGAAACAATTTAAGCCTTTTCATTTTGAGATTTTGACATTAATGTAGCTTTTGAAGTTTACCTTATGTGCTCCGAGTACTCTTTTAAGTAATGAGTAGTTATGGTTTTGAAGTAGTTTCTTTCAGGGTTCGTGGGGATTGGAGTTACTGGATTCATCCTTGTCTCGGGAATCACCTTTGCAGCATGGTCAATAAACAAGCAGAATGGTTCCAGTAAGTAGTTTTCTTGTATACTTGCAAACTGTTCTTTGGCTTTGTTTCAATACTCATGTTTATTGCCCCCAACTCTTTATAATTGATCTGTGTTCTTATCTGACTACTACGCGAATATGTATATGACAATTCATAGGACAAAAGCCGCAAATGGAGGCCTTAAGTATGCAGCAAGAATTATTGTTGGATTCTGATACTGGACATGATAGCCTTGATGAAGATGAAAAGGAAGATAACATTGTGAATGCAGATGATGGAGCTCTCGCTGATAATTCAGGTAATCAAGAGGAATCTTCTTCATATACAGAAAATGATGTTGAATTCTCATCCAGCATTAGCAATAATGATGTCAATAATGTTGCTTCTTTGCAAGAAGATTTTCGATCTGATTCCTCATTAGGTGCTACATTAGTTGCTCCCAGAAGTTTGTGTTCCTCGATCTTACCCGAATTTGAGATTGATGCTAAAGTAGCTTCTTGTTTTAAAGATGTTAACGACTGTCATGAACCTGAAATGAATATATTAAAAGATGAACGAACTATTAAAACTGATATTCGGGATGAAATCGCTGACACGAGTGAAAATTATGATTTCAGCTCTAAGAGCTTACCAGTGTATGATGATAGTTCATCAAACTATAATTCTGGCAACCAGGATGAGACACTTGGTCCTCCTGTAAATGAAATTACAGATTCTTCATTGCAAGAAATTTCTAGCATATGTGGCTACACAAAAACCAAGGATTGTGGATTATTTGACAAAGAGACTGTGGCTGAATCACCCAAAGGAGTTGAGCCCAACTGCATCAACCATAGAACAGCAAATAGAAAGAGGATTATCTGAAGCGGCATTAGTCTGTATCATAGCTTATCCGTTGGCAGATGTTCAAGTGAAAAATCATGAAACTATGATGAATAGCATTGCTGCCAAACCAGAACTACAAGGGATTTTATTTTCTTCTGCAGGTGTTCATGCTCCTTTGGTTTCTGCAGCTGTTAAAACACTTCCTGGCAAGGTCCTAGTTCCTGCAGCAGTGGATCAGGTTCAGGGGCAGGCATTGGCAGCACTACAAGGTTTAAAGGTACTGTGTGATGATGCCTCTCCAAATGCTTCCTTCTGATTAACACACAGCTACTGGTTCAGATACTCAAGATAATGTATTTTAAAGATTGTAAATTCTTCAGGTGATAGAGGCTGACGTTGAACCTAGCGATCTATGTACTCGTCGTGAATATGCTCGTTGGTTGGTGTCTGCAAGCAGTGCTCTTTCAAGGTAATTATCATTGCAGCTTTAGGGTATTGAAATGGTGAACTTTTTTAGTTATGGTTTTACTGAATATATCTTATGATACAATGGAATCGTTTTAATTCCTAGGAACACAACATCCAAAGTATACCAAGCAATGTATATACAGAATATTACTGAGCTTGCTTTTGATGATATTACACCAGAAGACCCTGATTTCGCATCTATTCAAGGTCGGTAGGAATTAGGATACTTGACTCATGGGATATGAGCCTTTTCTATTACACCTTCTGATTCACCTATATATTCCAGGTTTAGCAGAAGCGGGACTGATTTCAAGCAAGCTTTCGAGACACGATATTTCTTCGACGTTGGACGAAGACCAGGGTCCTTTTCATTTCTCTCCGGAAAGGTTATTCACCATTAATGATATTTCTTCGACGTTGGACTTCTTAACATATTCAATTGCATTGACTGGCCTTCTTTGATTTGTGGTTTCTTTCTCATCAACCATAATACGAGCTAAATTGCTTCTGCTATTTATACTATGTCCAAAACTGCAGCCCTTTATCACGTCAAGATCTTGTGAGTTGGAAGATGGCCCTTGAAAAAAGACTGCTGCCAGAGGCAGACGGAAAGGTCAAATTATTTGAAGCTTGACTTCGACATTTTCACTTTTGTATACAAGAATCATCTTTGTGAGAGTTCGGCTTGACTGATATGCAGATGCTCCGCCAAGTTTCTGGATTTATTGATACTGATAAGATCCATCCAGATGCTTGTCCTGCACTTGTTGCTGATCTTTCTGGTGGAGAACAGGGAATAATAGCTCTTGCATTTGGTGCGTGCATAAAATTGCAATTCGCAAAAACATTTTCCTTAAGAAATTCATGTCAAAACTAACTTTGCTTCTTAAAGGATATACAAGGCTGTTCCAGCCGGATAAGCCAGTAACAAAGGCACAAGCTGCCATTGCTCTTGCAACAGGGGAGGCTTCTGATATGGTAAGCGAGGAGCTTGCAAGGATTGAAGCTGAATCAATGGCGGAAAATGCTGTTGCTGCACATAGTGCGTTGGTAGCTCAAGTTGAGAAAGATATTAATGGCAGCTTCGAGAAAGAACTTTCCATTGAAAGAGAAAAGGTTGAGGCTGTGGAGAAAATGGCAGAAGAGACGAAGCAAGAATTGGAAAGATTAAGATCCGAAAGAGAGAGAGATAATATCAGCTTGATGAGGGAACAAGCTGCTATTGAATCGGAAATGGAAGTTCTCTCAAAGTTAAGATATGAGTTGGAGGAGCAGTTGCAAGGCCTGATGAGTAACAAAGTAGAGGTTTCCCATGAAAAGGAAAGAATCAACAAACTCAGGAAAGAAGCTGAAATTGAAAACCAGGAAATTTCCCGCTTGCAGTATGAGCTTGAAGTTGAGAGGAAGGCGTTGTCCATAGCCAGGTAAGGTTTTTGCAGCTCTTTTCATGTTTGAGGCTGACACTGGACATGAAATGATTGAGCACATAGCCCTTGATTTGTTTGTTTATCTTATCCTTTGCCTCTGTTCATGTGAGATTTGAAGCATTTTTCTGCCTTCAATGAAGATCTTCACCGTGAGAAGGAATCTGGTTTTATTACTTTCATCACCATGTCTTTTAGTTTCATCACGCAGAGCTTGGGCAGAGGATGAAGCAAAAAGGGCAAGAGAACAAGCAAAAGCACTTGAAGAGGCTAGAGATAGCTGGGAAAGGCGTGGCATCAAAGTAATGGTGGACAGCGATCTCCGTGAACAGGAATCAGCTGGCGATACTTGGCTCGATTCTAGCGAACAGTTTGCAGTCGAAGAAACTGTGGGAAGGGCCGAGAACTTATTGGCCAAGCTGAAAGAAATGGCTAGAGAAGTAGGAGGGAGATGCAGGGACATAATTGAGAAGATCATCCAGAAGATAGCATTAGTAGTATCAAACTTGAGACAATGGATTTCGAATGCTGGAGAACAGGGTGAAGATCTAAAGAATGTGGCCATTTCAAGGGCAAGTAGATCAGCAACTGAGGTGCAACAGAGCATTGCAGAGTTGAGGTTGGCCGTGAAGGTGGGAGCTAAGCGAGTTGTGGGAGATTGTAGGGAAGGAGTAGAGAAAATTACCCAAAAGTTTAGAACATAGAATGGTTAAGAAACTATTGATTTAGCAGCTGAGTGATGCAGTGGAACTCTTAAGGCCAGAATAAAGTTTGGCGTGTCAACTTTTACAGATATCGACCGAACTCACACACTCCAGCAAAATCAAATTCTAGACAACCTTAAGCATTAATGTTATACTTGAATCAAGATGATTCATCTATCAAAATAGAAGATAAATCGAAAAGGATATGAATCAAATAAATGAAAGATGAACAAAATAAACAAGTAATGAACCAAATGAACGATCCTGTTCATCCTCTACTGCTGGTTTAATCCGATCTCTACTGCTGGTTTAATCATGTTCATCTTGTATGATTGTTTAATTTGGGCTTTATCTTCTCTATTGGGCTCAATTTCATAGTTTCTAACAGAGCCCATTAACGTTTGTGGAAGAAAGCCCAATAAAGCCCATTAACGTTTAGAAACCATCACCTGTCAATATTTTCTTATAAGCCGATGCTCCCGTAACCCTAGTTAACCCTTTCGCTCGCCTCCGATCATTTGGTTCAAGTTTATCCGAGAAGGTACGTCGAGAATCCTTTCGCGATCTTCGTTTCTTTTGCTTCTCCTTCTCCTTCTCCATCTTTGATTTACTATAACTGAACACAATGTTTTCCAATTTGGTTATTTTCTCCAGATTTTGATTCTTCTACTGACGTTTACTATTCATTCCCCTGGATCAAACGAGTAGTTCCTAGTACTTTTTTTGTTTTCGGGTGAATAAGCAGTCGAGTTTTCTGTTCTCGTTACTGTAGATGAAATTCTGATTCGCAGTATGTTTGTTTTGTTATCGTATAAATGTATTTATTTTCTGGACAGGCGATGGCTCCGAAGCAGCCGAATACTGGTCTCTTCGTGGGACTTAACAAAGGACACATTGTTACGAAGAAAGAGTTGGCTCCCCGCCCCTCAGATCGTAAAGGAGTGAGTTAATTTTGTGTTTTGTTCAATGTACATTTTGCAATGATAGACATTCGTTAAATTTTTATTGAGTTGATTGTATGCATCTCTTTACTTATCTGGAATTTTAGTGGAGGATAAAGGTGGGGTTTACCTGTTGCGAAATGAAGCTTGAGAGGGGTTATTTAGTAGGACTTTTTTTGAAAAAAAATATATTTATCGTATGTAGTTATTACATTACAAAAGCTTAAAAGCAAGGGGATAGATTTTCATCATATATTTGAAGTCTTATCGAAGACCTGTTTGGTTCATATCAGTATCATTCAACGATATTTTAGCTGCTACCTTATGGACACTTGCGCTCAATTAGATTGATGATGTTGGAAATTAGCGAAGGAGTGCACTTTGTGGGGCTCTTGAGCATATGCATATAGTCAATTTGCTTCTTTTATCATACAAATTTAAAGTGGCTTTGCTCTGGATTATTGGTTTTTTTTTTCCTGTTATTTTAGTTGGTAGTTACAAGCAACTGACTTTCATGATTTATGCTTGCCTGAATTTGATTGATACCATAGAAAAGTAGCAAAAGAGTTCTCTTCGTGAGGAATTTGATCCGGGAAGTTGCTGGGTTTGCACCATATGAGAAGAGAATCACTGAGCTTCTTAAAGTTGGGAAGGACAAGAGAGCACTAAAAGTGGCCAAGAGAAAGTTGGGAACTCACAAGAGAGCAAAGAAGAAGCGAGAGGAGATGTCCAGCGTTCTCCGCAAAATGAGGTATTCTTAGAAAGGCTTCCAATTTCCCTTCTTATCATTGAATTTAATCCTCATTCAATTTTGACATGTTTTCAATGATTACACTTCATAAAAACACATTTCTAATGGGATTTTTTTCTCTGAATTAATTTTTGATACAGAGCTGGTGGAGGCGGCGAGAAGAAGAAATGAAGCTCCAAGTTCCATTTTGTTAGAGACATGTTCTAGATTGTTATTGTTGTTACCCAGAATGAAATTCAGTGCATTTTTTAACCTTGTGTTAGGTGAACTATGACAGGTATTAGAACGTATGTTTTTAATTTCTTCAAGTCTTATTTTTTTAATGAACTCTATAACCATTTGTATCCCTTTTGATACATTTTCGTTAGCTTGGAAGGAATGCAGCGTTTCATTAGCTTGAAATTATTGTACATGTGATTTTCTGACCAAAGGCACATGCTAAACACAGGCATTAGTTGATTTTCTAATAGGAATTGAATGTTGGAAGCTGAGAGATCTAAATTTAAGTGGTAGCTTAAGTTCAAATTTGTGTAATCTTGATTTTAAAAGATTTTTATATTATTAATAATATATGGGTTTGGTCATACTAATTAGAGTAGATTATAACTAAGGTGGCTTTTATTTGGTTCATTCCTTTCTTTTTATTTTTGTTGGTTTATTATTGAACAATTATTCGAGAGCTGATGACGACACCGTCCAATTAGCTCAAAAAAAGCATTAAATGTTTTACCCACAAAAAAAGCATTCACTTTATAGTTTAACGATTATTTTTTCTATTTTAGATTGGAATCTTATAAAGTTAATTTTTTCTTTTTCAGATAAATTTAAATTCGAAATTGAGATATAATGTAAGCAAAATAATTTTAATATTATTTTTAGAATATAATGTAAATTAGAAAAGTATAAATTAATCCTTAATATTTATGGGGTGAAAAGAAAAAAGAAAATTTTGCCAACTTAAGTAGTAAGGCATCCACGTCAGAATTCCAAGCTTGATTGGTTGAGTTGGTGTGTGTGACTTTGTCACCTAAGACGAGTCGTCCGTCTGTCGGTTCAGGCACCGCGTACTCGAATCCCAAACAAATCTCAATCATACAGTGATCTTGTTGAGCGATGTCGGAATTCCATCGCTGCTTTGCCAATTGGTAGCTTCCTGCAAATGGGCACTGCCGAGGAGACTGTACAACACCTGCAATTCGATGTTGAAGACACTATCTTTGTTGCAGTGGGAACCGACGCCGACGACGCCAAAGCTACTCTCCTTTGGGCTGTCCAGAACTTTGCCGGCAAGAGTTTTTGTCTGCTTCACGTTCATCAGCTTACCCCTCGAGCTAGTTCTCCTAGTGAGTTTTGTACCCCTGGATTTCCATTTCTGTTGCTACAATCTTCTGCTATTGAAGTATATGCTCTTACTCAATGCCTACAATTACTAACGATTTCGCTTCACATCATTTGCTATCTCTGCCGATTGACTGTCTAGAAAGAGCTCTAAGTTACCCAATTAATGAAATCTTCAACATTACGGTGCTCTCAATAGGATTGGGGATTGGGAATTGTGGTTGTGATTCGCCTTCTTCAACTAATACTCACATCTTTCAACTTCCTGTAGTTATGTGCCACTGAATCAGTAAAGGGGGCTTGGGTGGTCTTATAGGTCAGCTGCCAATTCAAAATCAGATCTGGTTCTGGAATGGCTATGCAATCCCCTTTTGGTTTTGAATGGATATAGGGTTCCTTCAGCCTCTGAAATCGACACCTCTCTCTTGTTTTGATCTGTTTGTTTCAAGTAATTGACAACTTCTAGTGCCGGTTCCTTTTGTGTATCATATGTGTTCTTATACAATGTTATCCTTACCTGCAGAAAATGAAGATCCATCTTCCAATACACTAAAAGAACATGTAGCGAAGGCATTTGAAGAACTCGAAAGGCAAAAGTCTTTTGAACTTCTTAATCAATATGTTCTCATTCTTGCCAAACTGGGGGTACCATTTCAATTCCCATATTAGTTCAAGATAAATTTAATTATTATAAAGACTGCTGTAGCATGCTACACTATCTTAACTAATGAATGGGTAGACAGGTGGTATTATCAGTGAAAAGCTTTTTATTGGTTATTACTCAAATTGATGAATTCGCTTAATTTGTAGGTACGAGCGGAGAAGATATTGATTGAGACGAACAGTGTCGAGAGGGGGATTCTTGAAATTATTGCTCAGTACAGTGTTAAATGGCTAGTCATGGGTTTAGATGCAGAAAGATACAATCTGAAGTATGCATGATTTACTGTTATTATGAAGTTTCTGGGAAACTGGAGGCAACATATGCTTAGTTTCATCATAATGTTATTTGTGAGATCTGTTTATTTATATCTCAATTACACTGTTAGGATGTCCACAGGGTTAAAGTCCAAGAAAGCCTTCTTTGTATCCCAACAGGCACCATTATGCTGCCATATATGGTTTGTCTGCAGAGGGCGCCTTGTATACTCAAGGTACTTTGTTCTTTTAGAATTTGGATTGGTTTTGATTTCAAGGCTGGTTGATGATCGCTAACAACCGAACCCAACAGATATTGTCCTTTTTTAGCTTTTCCTTTCGGGTTTCTCCTCAAGGTTTTTAAAATGTGTCTGCGAGAGAGAGGGGTGTGAAAACCCTTCTAACTGATGTGTGATCTCACAATCCACCCCCCCTTAGGGGCCCAGCGTCCTTGCTGGCACTCTCGTTATCTTCTCCAATCAATGTGAGACCCCCCAATCCATTCTGCTTCAGGGCCCAGCGTCCTTGTTGGCACACCGTCTCGTGTCCACCCCCTTTCGGGGCTCAGTCTCCTCACTAGCACATTGCTCGGTATCTGACTCTGATACCATCTGTAACAACTCAAGCCCACCACTAGCAGATATTGTTCTCTTTGGGTTTTCCCTTTCAAGCTTCTTCTCAAGGTTTTTAAAACGCGTTTGTTAGGGAGAGGTTTCCACACCCTTATAAAGAATGCTTCGTTCTCCTCCCCAACCGATGTGAGATCTCACATTATCTTTATACTGAAAACTGACCATTGGGCTACTTGTGAATGATATTTGTATTATTTGTTCATCATTACCCAAGTAAGATTCTTATTAAAGCAGGGAGGGCGGACCGGGAAGATTCAATAAGTTGCAGCTTCCGAACACGGAAATAGGAATCAACCATACAAACCATCTGAGACCAGAATCTGTGACTTGTAAATTGAATCTTCTAGGTATCTCATATATTCAAACTTGACTCCTGTGACTTCTGGTTTCCACAAAGAAGACAGCAGAATTACATTTGTTGCAGAACTTTGCAGATGCTCAAGAACAGGAGAACGCATTTGATAGCATAAGCAGGTTTATATATGAAGGTCCGGTGGATCCAATGTTTGAAAACCTGGGTACTTCAAGGACGACGCTATTGTTAAAGAACGAGGTGAATGGTTTGCAAGAAGCAGCATCGATGAACGTTACGCCCATAAAAGAATTTGAGGAAGAAGCTGTGGGTGCTGAATTCAAGGTATTTTGTGATTGTTGTTTACAGTGATATCAAGTTTTGTGAAAGAAAGAGTAATCTTTTGTTACAACGGCACGCGGATAAGAACGCTTAATGATTAGATAAATGTTATGATTGAGTTATGAAGATTTCCTTGGAGCTTCCGCACATTTCGTTTTCAATTAAGGATCTTTTGTGTCATCTTATAGGCTAAATCATTAGAAAGCTCGTGTGTGGAGGAGGTGAAGAGAAGAAAGGAGATGGAAGAAATTTTAGCGAGTTCGAAAAAGGAAGTGGAAAGGATGAACAAAGAGCATGATAAGCTCTTGAAAGAACTGCACCGTGTCCACGAGCAGAAATCGTTACTTGAGAGAAAAGCGTCGGAGAGCCGGTGTGATGTGGAGGAGTTGGAGAAGAAGATGTTTGCAGCGGTTGACCTCTTAGTGAGCTTCAAGGAGAAACGAGATAAGTTGCAGATCGAGCAGGAAGATGCAACGAACGAGCTCCGAAAGCTGAAGAAAATGGTTGAAAGGGAACCATCGTGTAATCGCCGTGCAGAAATGCCTACATTCTCCTTCATGGAGATAATTGAAGCAACGAGAAACTTTGACCCTTCCTGGAAGATTGGCGAGGGAAGACATGGCAGTGTTTATAAAGGCGTTCTTCGCCACATGGATGTCGCTCTAAAAATGTTTCCTTCGTATGGTTCTCATTCCCAATCAACGTTCCAATACGAGGTAAATCTTGTTCTCAAAAGAATAGTTGATAAGGAAACAACCCAAAAGAAAGTTTCGGAACAAATTACCTTGATGATCAAGATCACGAGTTTGGAAACGAATTTTCTTTGTTCACGTTCATATCTTGTTTGCTAGTTTATGATTATGTGCACAACCGATCTTTAACTTGTGCTTTGGTTTTGTATTGTCGAGTAACAGGTTGAGCTGTTGAGCAGGGTTAGGCATCCCAACCTGGTTTCAATTATTGGAGCATGTCCAGAATCCAGGTTAATAGTGTATGAGAATATGAAAAACAGCAGCTTAGAAGACCACCTTGCCTGCAAAAATCGACCACTTCCATGGCAGATACGGATTCGTGTTGCTGCTGATATCTGCTTGGCCCTTATATTTCTGCATTACAGCGAGCCCTGCATTGTCCATGGAGATATAAAGCCAAGCAAAATCCTACTTGATGCCAACTTTATAGCCAAACTAAGTGGCCTGGGCATCTCTCGTTTGATCCCGCAAGAACAAAAGGCCTTCGATTCGGCCTCGGTATATAGTCTGTCGAAAGAAAATAATTCATATATAGATCCAGAATATCTTGAAACTGGAAGGTTAACTCCAGAATCAGATGTCTATTCTCTTGGTGTTACTTTGCTGCGAATTTTAACTGGCAGAGCACCTCCAAGTATTGTAAATGATGTAAAATGTGCTCTAGAAAATGACCAGATTGGTGCCATTTTGGACTCATCAGCTGGAGACTGGCCACATGATCTAGCAGAACAGTTGGCTCTTGTGGCACTGCGGTGCTGCGAGAAGGAAAAGTCGAATCGGCCTGACCTCGTCTCGGAGTTATGGAGCGTTTTGGAGCCAATGAGATCCATTGCCTCAGCCTCATGTCCAAATTTGAAGAAACACTCTCGCGTGCCTGCCCATTTTGCTTGTCCTATATTTCAGGTCAAGATCTAGCCAGAAGTAGTTTGGTGAGCAAAAACAAAAAGGAACTTACTGAGAACCCTTTGATTGATTTTACAGGAAATTATGAAAGATCCACTCATTGCTGCTGATGGGTTCACATATGAAGCTGATGCAATAAGAGGATGGTTCGAAAGTGGGCACAACACTTCTCCGATGACAAATCTTAAAGTTGAGCACTGTAATCTTGTGCCAAATTATGCTCTTTTGAATGCAATTCAAGAGTGGCAGCATCAGCTATGACAACTTTGGTTACGTTTCCTTGCTCCTTCGCCTACCAGAAAAGGCTACAAACTGGTAAGGTTCGGTACAAAAGCTGTCCCATAATTACAGTTCATATAGATTGTTTATGTACCTATATGTATAGTAATAGCCTTTGATGAACCCAACATTGTTATTTTCTTAAATAAAGCATAGTCTGATGGGATAATAATGGGTTTGTATGGAACATTTTCCTTTCATTTCCAACTTTGTTATTGGGATTGAGGAGGTTATTTTTGTTACATTCCTTGCGTTTAACCTAATTTTGTTTTTTCGTTAAATGGTAGGTTTAGTTCCTAAAATTGAGGGTTCGTGTCTATTTAGTATTTGAACTTTCGAAAATGTCTATTAAGTTTCTGAACTTTCGAGGTAGCTCATCAAGTTATAGCAATGCGAATAGTGTCACCAGTCTATCCACTACTCTTTCTATTTTGGTACTGTACCGTTGAGACTCTACTTTAATTCTTGTACCATGGAGTTAGGTGTTGCTGGTTGGGGTAGCGTGCCTAGTGGAAATGGCTAAGGGTCTCTTGAGTGTGTAAACCTGTCTTTGGGTAGGGAGTGTGGGATCACGTAGGTTGACCTAGTAGCTAAAACTGATATACGGGGATCCTTTCACCCAAACTTCAGCAAATTTATGGTCTCTTGGGAGAATTTGTCAGCTAACCCCGTGGATGATGTTCATATTGTTCTTCATATTCAAATCTAGTCGTACTATCTCGCAGCTTATGAGGTTGTGCCTCAACCTAGGACACTAATCATTTACCGCATAAGGCAAGTCACCTAAGCTGTAGAAAAGAAAGATTGGGAAGATGGTATCAGAGCCAACACTGAGCGGTGTGCCAGCGAAGATGCTGACCCTAAGGAGGCGGATTGTGAAATCTCATAGAGTTGGAGAAGAAAACGAAGCATTAGGGTGTGGAAACTTCTCTTAACAGACGCGTTTTATAAATGTGAGGCTAGCGGTGATATTAATTTATGTCTAATGAATCTTAAACGTTTGGTTTCTTAACGAACTCTTGTCAGTAGCAAGGGCGGTTGATATATGATTTAAATTAATGCTCAGAAAATATTTTCGCTTATTTAAATATATGCCCTAACACGTGAAAAACACGTGATCACTATCTCAATTTACGAAAACATCCCTATGGCTCTCGAATTGGGCCTGTTTCGGCAAATTTTGTTTGGGCTAATTGGGCCCAAATCAGAAATGAAGCGACAAACATGGCCCGTTTGTTGCTCGGCCCAATATCCAAATTTAGTAACGTACGCACGTCAACAGCGCGTGCGCCTGTGTAATTTCCACGTCATATAATTCTCCTTTACATATTAAACTTTTTATTTTTCGTTTTTGTTTTTTGCCGGAGTGAGCAGGAACAGGGCTCCGTTTTTATGCCTTTATATTTTCACCTACAAGCCTTCATTTTTTTTTTCTCTCTATGAAGAAACTCTCCTAAGAAAACAGCTTCTCTCTTCTCCATCGATCACTTTCTCGAATTTTCCAGGCCCGTTTCCTCCGGCCTGCCTTGTAACTCTTTCCAAATCGGCTCCTAATACGATCCGATCTGTCGCCTTCTTTCTTTCTTGGAATCGATCTCTGTCGTTCTTACTGGTACGTCAATCGATCACACTCAGTTTTTTTTCTTAATTCTATTTGTTTCCGCTTATTGGCTTTCTATGTGGCTTCTTCTATCGATTACAGATCATGCGCCGGAGTTCTTGAAATAGTTGTTTCGCTTTTTCGTTATTTTCTTGCTGGGCAATTTTTTTTTTTTTTTTTTTTTTTTTTTTTTTTTTTTTTTTTT